AATTCACTTATCTCGATTCGTATATCTAATTTTTATCATTGTATCTTTTTTTGTTATTGACTTATTCTTAATACAAATCGCGATTTTCGATTCTTTTCGATAAAGAATCAAAGCTAATTTTTTTTTTTACGATTTGCAACTTGAATTACTTGATAATAAAAAGAGCTATATTGATAAAAATTAAATGCATTAATCGGCGGAATCGAGCTCTTTAAAAGTATCAAATTTTAATATCATAGCTTTATTCGTTATTAAGTTATTTCTAATACAAGTTGAAATAATTGAAATGGGACACTTGCTTGACCTGGGACACTTGCTTGTCCTGACTGTGACCGAGAGCCCGCAGGTCACAAAGTCAGTGCACTGACTATTATGTGATCCCTCGCACTCCCGTGAGTTCTTCAAGTAATCGCTCAAAGTCGTCACAAAAACCAGCGACGAAAATAATATCAAAAGTAGCGACGGCGAGGTTTAGGTAGCTATAATAGTAGATCAAGGAATCAAGGGAGCAAAAGTCACATAAGACGTTCTCCTGTCCTCCGGTCATCGGAAGTATGATTGTTTCTATTTGATTTTTTAAAAAAAAAAGTCGTTTAGAATTAAAAATCCAGTGATTAAGAGTAGCACACATGTTGCTTTATTGGTGTACGGTCATTGCTCCCACTCTTCCTGCGCCCATCGGATTGTGAAAGGGCCTGCCTGGCATTAAGGTAAAAATTTGACCCGTTATAAAACGGGCGACCAAGGAGAATATAATTTGATAACTAGCTGAACATTCTCAAATGAAATACGACTTGTGCTCCAGTAAAAGACATGTAATTCCTTCTGCAAACGTCCCTACAAGATGTGAATCGCCCTCCCAGAGTGACCGATATTGTGTCTTTAACCTCAGCTGATTCCCAGAATTTCACAGAGGCTGAAACAACTTCTCAAATCCAGGCGCCCAGCAACGGGTGATTCCTTCTTCGCGCAGCGCGAAAACAGCATCGTTGTAGAGTTCAACAGAAGCTGCCGTTAAGTAATTTGTGTTTTACTGGCGATGTGGAAGGAGAAAGAAAAAGATTGGTGGGAGCGGGAAGATTGACGAATACTTATGGAGCGATGGTGCTTGCCTGAGGCTGCAAGGTAAGTAACGTGAGTCTTAGCGTGTGGTGTGGCCCGGGCGACTTGACCATCAAATGTGGCCTTCCAGCCAAAGCGAATGCCCAGGGGCATCACGTCGAAGAGCCTTCTTCTGCCTCTCCAACCGCCTGCCTCCTACCTCCTACCTCCTACCTCCTACCTCGAGTTCTCGATCTCCTGCGATTCTACTGCACACACCATCCCCCCGCCCCCGACAACTGCCTGCAAAGCCAACTTCGAAATCATCATCCATCGCATCGCCCTGCGCCCACATCATAACTAACGTAGCATAACACATCACAGCCAGGCAGGCGATACCTGGCGTGGCTCGTCCTCCCTCCGCCTACCATGGATATCGAGGCGCTCAAAGAACAGTGGTCGGAGATTGAGGACCGCGACGGATTGCGTCTCAGTTGGAATGTTTTCCCCAGCTCTCGAATGGTGTGTTGGACGATTAGGAGGCTCCTGGGCATGCTGCTGATTCTCTGTAGGAAGCCTCAAGGCTCGTAGTACCAATCGGCGCACTCTACACCCCCCTCAAGGAGAAGCCTGAATCGCCTCTGCTGCAATTCGAGCCTGTGATTTGCAAGCAACCGTGTCGATCCGTCCTCAATCCTTACTGGTGAGCTACAATGGATAGTTCGGCCACCCACTCCGTGCTGACTTGGAACGAAATTTAGCCAGGTGGATGTTCGCGCCCGGTTGTGGATCTGTCCGTTCTGCCTCTCTCGAAACCCCCTCCCACCACACTACAAAGACATCACAGCGAATGCGATACCACCCGAGCTCCACCCCAGTAATACTACCATCGAATACAGACTCTCGAGGCCTGCACCAAGTGCACCCATCTTTCTCTATGTTGTGGACACTTGCCAAGAAGAGGACAGTTTGACTGCCTTGAAAGAATCCTTGGTCATGAGTTTGAGTCTGCTCCCCGAGAATGCTTTGGTCGGATTGGTGACATTCGGTACAATGGTGAGGCGCCTGCTCTGGTCGAGAGTTTTCATGATCTGACGACGAATAGGCACAAGTACACGAGATTGGCTACAATGAGTGTCCAAAGTCTTATGTTTTCCGAGGTAGCAGGGACTACTCTGCGAAGCAGGTTCAAGAAATGCTAGGCTTGATGGCACCTGGTCTGCGCCCTGGGATGCAACAGCAACAGCCTGGCCCGCCGAGGCCTCCGATGGGACCTGCTGCAAGATTTTTGCTTCCTGTACAGCAATGCGAGTTCCAGCTCACAAAAGCATTGGAGCAATTGCAGAAAGATCCTTGGCCAGTCGCGAACGACCGCAGGAATCTTAGATGTACCGGTGTCGCGTTGAGCGTTGCAGTTGGCTTACTCGAATCATCCTTTCAAAATGCCGGGGGTCGTATCATGCTCTTCGCAGGTGGTCCAGCAACCGAGGGGCCTGGCTTAGTCGTCGGTCCAGAACTTAGGGAGCCAATCAGATCACATCACGATATTGACCGAGACAACATCAAGTACTACAAGAAAGCGCTCAAGGTATGGCACCACTGTCAATTTCCTTAGGACAGCGCACTAGCTAAAAAAAAACCAGTTCTATGACAACTTGGCCAAACGAACGGCGCACAATGGCCATATCATCGATATCTTCGCGGGCTGTCTGGATCAGGTCGGATTGTTGGAGATGAAAGGGCTCTCAAATTCAACTGGAGGCCATATGGTTCTGACGGACAGTTTCACTTCGTCGATGTTCAAGCAGTCGTTCGTGCGAGTCTTCGAGAAGGATGCTGATGACAATCTTCTCATGGGCTTCAATGCCTCGCTCGAAGTGCTGACTACAAAGGAGTTGAAAGTCACTGGACTGATTGGGCACGCCGTCTCGATGAACAAGAAATCGACTTCTGTTGGGGAGACCGAGTGCGGCATTGGCAATACTTGTTCATGGAAGATGTGTGGTATTGATCCTAATGCCAGTTACGGCATTTACTTTGAGATTGCCAGCCAAGGTGGACCAGCGCAACACCAGCAATCGCCGCAGAAGGGAATGATGCAATTCTTGACATACTATCAGCATTCTTCGGGTCAATTTCATCTCCGAGTCACCACAGTGTCTCGTAACCTCAGTGGACCTGCTGGAGATCCTGCCATTGCACAGTCATTCGACCAAGAGGCTGCCGCTGTGCTGATGTCCAGGATTGCCGTTTTCAAGGCCGAGGTTGATGATGGTCCAGATGTGCTCCGCTGGGTGGATCGGATGCTCATTCGCCTATGCTCTCGATTCGCCGACTATCGTAAGGATGACCCTTCCTCTTTCCGCCTGGAAAAGAACTTCACACTCTACCCTCAGTTCATGTTCCACTTGAGGAGGAGTCAGTTTCTCCAAGTCTTCAATAATTCTCCGGACGAGACTGCGTTCTACAGACATGTTCTGAACCACGAAGACGTTAGCAACTCTCTGATCATGATTCAACCTACTCTCGACTCGTATACATTTGACCAGGATGGAAGTCAACCAGTTCTCCTCGACTCGACTTCCATCCAGCCGACTCACATTCTTCTACTTGATACATTCTTTCACATCTTGATCTTCCATGGAGAGACTGTCGCCGAATGGCGGAAAGCAGGGTACCAGGACCAAGAAGGCTACGAGAACTTTGCAGCGCTACTAGAACAGCCGAAGGAAGATGCCAGGGTAGGTTTCTGGACGTTCGGCCTTTCTCCCATGGCTAACATCACCTAGGATTTAATCACCGACCGATTCCCACTCCCCCGCTTCATCGTTTGTGATGCCGGCGGTTCTCAGGCACGTTTCTTGCTCTCCAAGCTCAATCCTTCGACTACCCATACAACTGGCGCATATGGTGGTGTTGGTGCTCAGACCGCGCAGACAATCTTCACTGATGATGTGTCACTGCAGACATTCATGGACCACCTGATGAAGTGAGCTGCGACACCTAGCATAGAACGTACCCATGCTGACTTCAATAGACTCGCGGTGAGTGGAACCAACTGAGGCAATGTGTCGGAGTTGGTTACGGGAGGGCCTGGGGGCGTATGCTGGCTTTCATTGGCAATGGAAATCTTGAGTCTCTGAAGAGCCCCGCCATAGTAGGATCGGCGCAGTTTCACGTGTACTAAAATGCAACAGCTTGCTATGTACTGCGAAAATAATACCAGAAACGATCCTACACACTCTTCTATACGGTTGGCCTGACGCACGCTTTCTTGTGTTGTAGGATTAGTGTGTATGACCTGCCTAATATTAAAAGAAACACCACTGGTCGAAGAATATGGAAGAGCTTTCTTCTGATTGGTGAGGCAGAACTGCCCAAATTTCGTATATGAAATGGCACAAGAAATGGTACTCACGTAGATAGAGCCTGAAGAGATGGAAGATTGCCCCTCGATGCCTCAATTTTGAAAGTTAGAATGGGCTTGGTCTGTATAGTTCTAAGTACCAGCACTGCAGTATTTATCTCGCTAGGTGTGCTCGTCCGGTGTGTTCTCAAAATATCCAACGTAACCGACTTCCCCCTTCGTGGTGCGGTAAAATCAAAATCGATGTATTGGACATGTATCTGGCTCTACGAGAATGAAATCGAGGAGAAGATAGGCAAAAGAAAGATATCAGAAGGAGAACGCTCCCACTCACTTTACACAAAATACCTACCAACTTACTTCCGCAGTGTCCATAGTACCTGATTGTTGCGTTACTCCGACCTTTACATCCGTATCAGGCACGCGTCTAAGAATTCTGCCGGTTTTCCTGATTACTAAGCAGCATAGTTGTTCGAACGCTCTGGGAGCAAAGGCGGTGAGAGGAGCCAGAGACTGAGGTAATGTCCGACCCACTTTTGAACTCCACTTACTAGCGCCGCTTCCAAGCCTCCCCGACTCGCTTAGGCACTCCCCCTTCTCGCACATACAAAAATTTCAAGATATTCCGCCTCGTCTCCAACGTCAATTCGGCATCACCACGACTACGAGTAAAATCCATCGTCAAAATGCGTAAGTGCCGCGCCTCGCTGCTCTACTATGCGAAAGATCGAATCACTGGTTAACTTTTTGCGCGCAGCTCCCAAGCTCGACCCCAACGAGATTAAGGTGATGTGAGTTAACTTCATACAATTCTCTCCCTCTCCCTCTCCCTCTCCCTCTCCCTCCCCTCTGCGATATCCCCGAATCGAAATTCAATCCCGTTGAGACGACCATGAGAGGCCGGGATTTGCAACTGCGGACGAAGTACAGATACTGATACTGATTGTGCGTCTGCAGCCACCTCCGAGCCACTGGTGGTGAAGTCGGTGCATCTTCCGCTCTTGCCCCAAAGATTGGTCCTCTCGGCCTGTCACCCAAGAAGGTGGGAGAAGACATTGCGAAGGCGACTGGTGACTGGGTACGGATATGGATATGAATACCCCTCCGAACACAATGCTGAGGCAGTCGGGCTGACAATCTTACAATACAGAAAGGACTCCGTGTCACAGTCAAACTCACCATCCAAAACCGTCAAGCTGCTGTCTCCGTCGTTCCCTCGGCATCATCCCTCGTCATCAAGGCGTTGAAGGAGCCCCCCCGCGACCGCAAGAAGGAGAAGAACATCAAACACAGCAAGTCGGTTACCCTCGATGAGATCATTGAAATCGCCCGGACGATGAGATTCAAGTCATTGTCCAAGGATCTCAAGGGTGGTGTGAAGGAGATTTTGGGCACCGCATTCAGTGTTGGCTGCCAGGTCGATGGAAGAAGTCCCAAGGATGTTAGTGATGATATTGAGAGTGGAGAGATTGAGAGTAGGGCTTGAACCACAAATTCCCGCACTCGCAGGAGCACTGGCTGACTTGACTACAGTTCCGGAGGAGTAAATGGCGACCAACGAGTTTCCTTGCATTTATTCTGGGCTCCACACTCCACAATAGGTAGTGCAAGCAATGGCATGAATCAACAATAGGTAGTCCAACAGGCTGAAGTGACGTGCATGTTCCCCCCTTCCCCCCCCCCCCCCCCCCCCCCCCGGCCCGATTCACTTGCTAAACACTCTGGCCTTGACCCCCTTTCCCTTCGAGGATCGGTTCAATCTCTGGTAAGGCCTGATTTCTGCAGCAAGAAGATAGATTACTGTCCGATTACTCACCGCCATATCTTTTGTCCTTGGGCGTGGATATGGCGGTCCATATTTTTTGGTCAACATTTCAGCCAATGCGGTCGTTGCACTTCCACAAGAAATTTCCTCATCAGCAGCGAATTGGATGCGGAGTGAGTAGTGCAAATCATCTCAGCGATCACCAGCGCCTTTATATGCGTGCCACATGTGAGTGCAGAAGCGGAGCGGCTTGGTGTCTTGGGATCTGAGGATGATTGTTGTGATTGTGAAAGAAAAGCAAAGACATCATGTGCCGGGCCGGGCTACGCTAGGTAGGGCCGGCACTCCCCACCATCTCTAGCCAACAATTTTCATGCAATCAAAATTAAACTCTTGTCGTTGCAATGCCAACATTCTTGTCTTTCCCGTCTAATACTCGATCTACGTAGTACTTGGGTGTAAGCTACGATACGATCAAATCCTTTCTGACGGTGAGCGGCCCGGTCCGGCTAAATACAATACATATATACTAGGTATATACAATATGTATGTAGTGTGGGTCGCGATCGTTCGCTCGCTGCTTTCCCTTCCAAAAATACGATCCTGGTAATTTTACTCGAACTCAAACGCACTTCGCCCTGGGCTGACTGGCTGACTGGCTGACGGGCTGACTGATTTTGCTTGGTATTGTCCAAATTTCACCTTACCTCGTCCTCTATTCGCCTTATCCCCCTTCAACCCATGTTTTGCCGCCCCTCAAAACTTCAGTGCCTATCTATGGAGATATCACCACATTCCATCCTCCATCCCTCTCAGTGATTTACTGTGCTGAGCTGAGCTTCTTTGTACTTAGCATTTCCCTTGCAGTTTCCTTCCTCCCCACGTCGAAAGCCCACGTCGGGTTACACCCGAGCCCGAGACGACATCTGCGAAGCCCGATCCAAATAATATTCCCTCCTCCGAGCGGTTGGCGGCACTAAGCAGTACGGGACGGGACGGGACGACACTCGACTTCACTGGACTCGAGGATGCTCGGTTAGGGCTGAGCTGGTCTGCGAGCTCGAGATGATCAACAGAGGAAACATTCCCCTCCTCCGTGCAGGCAGTGGCACTCCTTGGATCTGAAGATTGATGCGACAAGAACCGATTAGATGTCACAAATCAAACAAGTGTAGTATAATATACCCGCTATAACCGAATGAACATGATTCCCCAGGTTGCCCTCCACTCATATCTACCGCAAAAGTTCGGAACTCAAGGATCTGATGGTGTCCCTCCCTTCGACCCTCTCCAGCAACCCACAGGACCCGACCGATACCAACCCACGCCTGTCCCATCTGCAAGCCCTAGGAATCTTGTGTCTTCTTCGCTGGGGCCTCCGAACCGCGCATATCCGGGTCACAATAGCAACACTCGCCGTCCAGGCCTCGTGCGCGCGGAGTCGAGTAGTCACGGCTTTGTTGGACACTACAACGACCCATCGGAGCATATGCTGCGAAGGAAGACACCGAATGGTACCCTCGCTGCTGGCTATGACGGCACACCCGTACAATGGTCCAGCAAGGTCCCTGCTCTGAAGCATGTTGCACTTGCTGCGTGTGTGGATTCTTCAAGTCAGAATGGAACTTACACCACATCCATCTTAGACGATCCGCGGGCGAAACCGAAATCTGCTGCTCTGAACCTTGGCCTGGGATATCAGCAAGCTGGCCAGATCCACGCCTCACGGTTCGCTCCTCACGATCGAGACGTCCGAATTGGCGGGAATATAGGTACACCGCATCAGCTTCCCTCCAACTATCCTCATAATGTTTGGGATCAGATTCAGACACACCAAGCATCTAAGTTCTATCCCAAAAATGGCATGCAGATTCCAACTGTTCTGCAACCAGCGTACCAACCATCTCCTGGACCGACTGCATCCAACGATGGGGGTTTCTATGGTCCATATTGGCCCGACGGTAGGTTTGTACCATACAGACCAGCCGCCGTACGGGACCATGGAGGCTTTCATCACCAAAACGTACCGATGAACCAAGACCACAGTCAGCAAGCGCTACCCCCAGCAGACCATTTGCCACCCTTACGACAGCTATCTTTCGCTGAAGAGGCGAATCTGCTTCAGCACCCCGGTCATGCACCTTTCAATATTCAAAGTCGAGACATTCGTGCGCCGCATGTCGTCTGTAATCCTTCTTTAGCATCGCGTTCGAACGGGAGCAGCACTTCGTTCCACACCATTGATGGCGGTTCTCGAATACGAACCGCTTTTACGCACCAGGCCGGTAACCCACATTTCAAGGAGAAGACCTTGTCCTGGGCTCACAGTATCTACGTTGATCTTCTCGCATTCCTTCACCAAACAGAGAAGGAGAACAAGCAGACTAAGCAGCCTATCGGATTTCGGACCTATTCTAAGAACAGCATATACCCTAAACCGCCTCGTCAATCCTTCTTCTACTCGAAATCTGCTCAGTGGGAATCCTCAGATGACACAAAAATCAATGATGCAGTCTTTCACGGGCAGAGCGGGCATGCTCTGACATCCTCTCCACCGTCATTTTGGGACAACTTCATTGGCTTCCAAGAAGCTGGAGGTCTGAGTGAAGCACGGCTTGCCAGGCCCCCGAACCAAGACATGCCGCACTACATGTCTCCATTCCAGGCGCCTTCCCAGGCTTCCGCTTCACCAATGAGCAAGGCACGAGATGCATTGGAAGTCCTTCACATTCTGTGTGACCAGAGTGAGTGGAGCTGGGTCGACGGTATGCTTCTTGGAGGGTGCCTCGCATATGGTCTCGAGGAGTATCACAAAGCGCTTAAGTGGTACTCGAAGATTATTGCTCTAGATCCCACGTGAGTCAACTTCACGTGTGATTATAATATACACTAATTACTGTTCTAGGCACGTGGAGGCTATTTCGAATCTCGCGGCCACGCTGTTGTGTTTAAATAGACGTGAAGAAGCAGAACAGTACTGGTTGCAGTCGATCAAGCTCAGACCGAGCTACTTTGAAGCAGTCGAACATCTCGTTGGAATGCTCTGTGGCGATCATCGAGGAAACGAGGCTGTCAACATCATTGACTTTGTGGAGCGCTCGCTGCGGTTGCCAAGATCCGAAGAGAACTCGGACTATCTCAGTGAGACATCGAGTAATGCCGATCGAGATTCGTTCGACTCTGTGGGCATGTCAGCCGAGAACTTCGCTTTGGATTCCGATATTGACGTCGAAGGAGTGTTCAGCCCAACGGTTAGAAAGGAAAACGACGACCCTCTGGCGCAGCCTGGTTACGGATCCAGTGGGTTCTCGGTGCCTGGCTCAGAGAGCGGTCGTATCCTTGCGCTAGTCCATGCTAAGGGCAACATGTTATATGCTCTTGGCGACATCGCTGGTGCCTCGAAAGCCTTTGAAGAAGCGGTCCTGATCAGCACGGGTCGAGGGTTCCATGGAATCCAGGATCTGATCAGAAGAATAGTCAACGTCCTATCACTGGACGGGATGCGTCCTTTGCGCACCGACTTTAGGTCGCCTACACCGTCAGCTGGTCGTTCCCCATTGCTTCTACCCCCCGACAAGGCTTTGCAGACAGCACGGCTTGTGTTTACGAAGAATGGTGATCTCCCTGGACTTCGATACGTGGCTAACGGTCTAGCGAAAAGAGCCGCAGTCTCGACTACTAGCAATTCTCTCTTGTCTCTTGCCAAGATCTTTCAGGACGCAATGTCAAACAGTAGTTCTCGTCAAGGGATTTCGGGAACGCCAACAGGAGTCGGGGACATACTGGCACTTTACTATCTGTCGCTATCCCTCCAGCCCAGCCCTTCCACAGCGAATAATGTAGGTATTCTCCTCGCCAGTGTACAGCAACCGCCGTTACACCGCCCTCTCCAATATAGAGAGACATCTACTCAACCTACTATACCTGGGGTAGTTCCCGGTAGTGGGATCGCTCTCGCTCTGGCTTATTACAATTACGGACTTAATCTTGATTCTCGCCACGCACATATTTACACGAATCTCGGAAGTCTGCTCAAAGACATCGGCCAGCTTACAGCTGCGATCACGATGTACGAGAAGGCTGTTGCTTGTGATGGCACATTTGACATTGCACTGGCGAATCTAGCAAATGCTGTCAAGGATCAAGGCCGCACAAGTGACGCTATTGAGTACTACAGACGCGCCGTCGCCTCAAGCCCGGACTTTGCAGAAGCAGTGTGTGGACTGGCCAACGCTCTCAACTCTGTCTGTGATTGGGCTGGGCGAGGAGGGGTCATACTTGACGGTGGCAGACAAGACAGATGGCATATAGACGAGACTGGGATGATCACTGACGCCCGAACAAATGGGCAAGGTGGTGGTGGCTGGATGAAGCGCGTGGTTGACATCGTCGCAAAGCAACTGAAGGACGGTTCCGTGTGGGGGCTAGGAACTCTGCAAGGCCCAGCACTTGATCGATTGCTTCAGCAATTGCAGGCAGCTGACTCTGGTGGCGAATGGCCATTGGAAACGCAAAAGAGCATGCTAGCGACCTTGAAGTCGTGGGCAGGACAACGCTGGGAGGGTGCCCGACTTGTGCGTTTAATAGAAAGAGCTACCAAGAGAGCCATGCACCGATGGTATCATGACAAGCATGTGCAGAAACGGCACCTACCCCCGTCGCACTATCCAAGACCTCAACTACCCGACGGCTTGACGGTGCCTACTGCTCCGACAGTATTGCCGTTCCATACATTTACCTGCCCCTTGTCTGCGAAAGACATACGGATGATCTCACAGAGGAATGCGCTCAGAATATCCTGCTCTACTCTGAACATGCCATGGATGCAAGGATCCGTCTTCCCCCCACCTTCGCCTCCAGCGCCCCATCTCAATATCGGATACGTATCTTCGGATTTCAATAACCACCCTCTCGCACATCTGTGAGTATTATGATCCAAAGGCTCTTGGATTATCTTTTAACTGAGGTAATAGAATGCAATCTGTTTTTGGCTTCCACAATCCTTCACGCGCGAAAGCACTCTGCTACGCCACGACTGCGAGCGATAACTCGGTCCATCGCAAGCAAATCGAACGTGAGGCGCCAGTGTTTCGAGACGTCAGCACATGGCCAGCTGATCGCTTGGTTCAGCAGATTGTTCAGGATGAGATACATATCCTGGTCAATTTGAACGGCTACACTAGAGGCGCAAGGAACGAGGTGTTTGCAGCTAGACCGGCCCCGATCCAGATGTCTTTCATGGGTTTCGCGGGTACACTTGGGGCTGAATGGTGCGACTACATCCTGGCTGATGAAACCGCCATCCCTCTTGATACCTTGCGGCCTTGGAGAATAAATCTGGCGCTAGAAGATCAAATTTTGGATCTGGCATCGCACGAGGAAGAAGACTGGGTATACTCGGAGAACATCATTTTCTGCAAAGACACGTTCTTCTGTTGTGACCATGCTCAGTCTGAGCCTCGAGAAAAGCAGCTCTCGTGGGAAGAAGAGCAGTCTCGAAGGTGGGCAATGCGGAAAGAGCTGTTTCCCAGTCTTTCCGACGATGCGATCATTTTGGGAAACTTCAATCAGCTCTACAAGGTTCGTATTTCTTGATTCCGCAGGGCTACTACCTCTCTAACTGATACCAGATCGAACCTACGACATTTCGGACGTGGTTGAGGATTTTGGACAGGGTTCCGAAAGCCATACTGTGGCTCCTTCGCTTTCCTGATCTAGGCGAAAGTAACCTTAAAAGAACGGCTCAAAAGTGGGCCGGAGAGAATGTTGCGTCGCGAATATGGTTCACGGACGTCGCTCCCAAACATCAACATATTTCCCGGGCACGAGTGTGCGATCTCTTCTTGGACACCCCAGAGTGTAATGCCCATACGACAGCTGCTGATGTTCTATGGTCAAGCACTCCTCTCTTGACGCTTCCCCGATACAAATACAAGATGTGCTCTCGCATGGCTGCTTCGATCCTCAAGGGGGCATTGCCTCGGGGTGAGGAGGGTCGCAGGGCCGCTGAAGAGCTCATTGCAGAAGACGACACACAGTATGAAGAGTTGGCGATAAAACTGGCGAGTACCTTCTCCTACAGAGTTACCCCCTCTGGTCGGGGAGAGGGGATTGGGAGATTAGGAGACATCCGGAAGCTGCTGTACGATAATCGGTGGACGTGCGCTCTCTTCGATACCAAAAGATGGGTGTCCGATCTTGAGACTGCTTATGACGAGGCCTGGAGAAGGTGGGTTGGGAACGAAGGTGGAGACATATATCTGTAGTTTTCTGGGATGCATGCTTGGGGGAACACATGTCGGACGTTGAGTTAGATCGGTCTTGGATTTGCATTTCGCGGTGCAACGAAGGAGTCACACCGGGGAAGATATGTAGAAGGGGGGGGGGGGGGTGTTAAAGGAGTATGGATCTGGGCCAGTGGCTCCTTACTGCCACTGCCACGCTATATACCCAAGCATTTGCGAGTCCTGATACGGTCTCTAGCCCACGTATTTGGTCTGTTGGCCACGTGCACTGACAGTGAACAGAACCGCGTAGGCCGAAGGTCACTGGTAATGGGCCGACAAGCCTGCAATCGGGTTCCGAGGAGGGGATAATCAAAGTATTGACCTTCGACCCTCCGCCCTCGTCGGGCCTTTCTTTGCCCGGTAGCGAAATGCCGGTTACGGAGGGGGAGTCCAGAATATGGGGCCGGCTCCCTACTCGCTTGGTCTCGGTTGTCCACCAACCGGAAGGGCACAACATGTTCACCCCCTTTTACCCTTCATGAGTCATCCTGTACCACTAGCTGGAGTCCGTGTCCTTTTTTTTATTTTCTTTCTACCTTTCCTCTATATCTGTGTACATCTATCTATCTTCTTTCTTCTTTCCCTTCCCTTCGTGCACTTTTCCCTCTCTGCTTACTCCTTTTCTTGCTCTTCTTGTTTCCTCTCTCTCCTCGTCCTGTTCCGCAATCTGCTTGCTTTTCCCGCCGTCCGGCTTTCAGGCGTGGAGGCGTTCAGGCGTTCAATCCACGACGACTTGGCGGATCCGTTTCTTACTGTTCTGAAAATGATGTCGATGATGATGATGATGACGATGGTGATGGGACTTGGGCTTGGGCCACGAGGATCTTTCATCTCCTCTCGTTTTCCCAACGAGTCCGATTCAGCCCTGCCCCTTCCCCCCTCCCCGCGCGGATTGATTGTTTGCTTGATTGCTTGCTTGATTGATTGCTTGAAGCCGTTCCGTTCCGTTTCGAGAGATGCTGTACTGTACTGGCTTGGTTTTGGTCTTGGTTTAACTTACCTGCCTCCCCACCTCCGATCCTCCCTACCTACCTACCCACCCACCCACCTACCTCCCTACGAGCCCGTCTGGTTCAAGACCAGTTTGTACACAACAAACCGGCTTTAGAAACGAGGTCTGTCCAAACTCCGCCTTGTGCAGTAAGTACGGTCTGTACAAATCGATATTTTCGAACCGACTTGTATTCATCCATTTACTTATTCCCTCATGTATCTATCTATTTTCTCTACTTCATTTTTTTTAAAAAAAACAAAAGGAAGAAAGAAAGAAAAAAAAACCAGAAACCCATATCCGTCATGATCTTTGACGCGTCATGAATTTTTTTTAAATTATATATATATATATATATATATCCTGACGTAGCTTCTCGCCCAAGAACAACACTCACTCACCCACTCACCCACTCACCCACTCCCTCCCTCTAAATCTACCACCTCGCTCTAACTGCTCTAACAGAGCAGAGGGGAGCAGGCCTAGGGGCTTCCTACCCAGCTCACCCTCACCCTCACCCTCACCCTCACCCTCACCCGCACCCGCACCCCTAGGGCTTAAAGCTCCTCCTCCTCCTCCCTTTCCCTAAAGTCCTTTCCCTAAAGTCATCCTGAACCAGAAGCAAAAAAAAAAGAAAAAAAATTTGTCGTCCCGTCTTTCGAGCCGCAAAACAAATAAAGCCGTCTGTCACTATCATTACGAGAATTACATACATCTCCCTCGAGCTCGAGCTCTCATCGTAATGTCGATAGTTCGGGACACCTTCCATCTTTCATCTTTCTTTCATGATAGACTAGACTAGACTAGATTAGACTACCATGCCGGATCGTGCGTGGTTCTTCCATTTCCATTTCCATTTCCATTTCCATTTCCATCTTTCGCTACTTCCCTTGTACGACGTTCCGCGTTCTTTTCTGGAGTTGTTGTTTACATCATGGAATTCGAGTCAAGCCATAAATTTTATATCATGAATAATATCTTTAATGATTTTTTTTTCTTTTTTCTTTTTTTCTTTTGGGGGGGTTTTTTTTTTTCTTTGGACGGTGGGGGAGGCAGAGAGAGACGTATTTTTTCTATCTTCGCTCTAATTTAATTAAATTAATTCCGCTGTAAAAAAGCTGTACTTTTTTTTCTTCTAAAATCTATCCACCTTTCACCCCAGCAGAGACTATCGTTGTTATCAAATCTTCTTTACCTGTTTATGGTGGTGGCGAAAAATGCTTTTATACAAACCTACCGAGTTGAGGTTTGTATAATCGATTGATTTGAGTTCGGAACCAACCACACGCCAAGCAGAGCACCACTTTGGTCTTATCATCCCCCC